GAATGACAAGATAAAAGAGCTGAACAGATGATTTCAAAGAGCAGGTTGAGAAGACAAAGTCCATTATTATAATGAAATGTGAAAAGACCTGGAGTTAGAAAACCAAAAGGGAAGAACACTCTCAGCATTTCTCAAGCTGAAAGAACTGGGGAAAAACAAACAAACAAACAAAAAATTAAGCCTCAGGTTGCAATATTGAAAGGTTCTATGGCAAAATATCGAATGATGGAGGAAATATCAAAAGAAGATGGAAGGAACACACAAAGCAACTGCACCAAAAAGAATTGGTCATTGTTCAGTCATTTCAGGAGGGGGCATATGATCAATAACCAGTGGTGTTGAGGGAGGAAGTCAAAGCTGCACTGAAGGAAGTGGCAATAAACAAGGCTCCGGGAATCATTGGAATACCTATTGAGATGTTTCAACAAACTGATGCTGCACTGGAGGCACTCACTTGGCTGTGCCAAGAGATTTGGAAGACAGCTACCTGGTCAACTGACTGAAAGAGATCCATATTTGTACCCATTCCAAAGAAAGGTGATCCCATAGAATGTGTAAATTATCAAACAATATTATTAATATCACACACAAGTAAAATCTTACTGAAGATAATTAAAAAATGGTTCCAGCAATATATTGACAGAGAATGTCCAGAAATACAAGCTAGATTCAAAAGAGCATGTGGAATGAGGGATATCACTGCCAATGTCAGATGGATCTTAGCTGAAAGCAAAGAATACCAGAAAGATGTGTACTTGCGCTTTATTAACTATGCAAAAGTCAATAAATTCAATTATGTGGATCATAATCAATTATGGACAACATTGAGAAGAATGGGAATTCCAGAACACTTAATTGTACTCAAAAGGAACCTGTACATACACCAAAAGGCAATGAGCAGAACAAGGGAATAGTGCATGGTTTAAAATCAGGAAGGGAGTACGTCAAGGTTATATATCATTTTACCATACTTATTTCATCTGTATGCTGTATGCTGGACTATATGAAGAAGAATGTAGCATCAGGATTGGAGGTTGTGCAGATGACACAACTTTGCTTGCTGAAAGTGAGAATTACTTGAAGCACTTACTGATGATGATTGAAGACTACATTGCAGTCTGCATTATACCTCAATATAAAGAAAACAAAAATCCTCACAACTGCACCAATAAGCAGCATCATGATGTTGTTGTTGTTGTTAAGTGCCGTCGAGTCATTTCTGACTCATAGCGACCCCATGCACAGCAGAACGAAACACTGCCCGATCCCGCACCAGCCCCACAATCCCTGCTATACTTGAGCCCATCATCGCAGCCACTGTATCAATCCATCTCCTTGAAGCATCATGATAGATGGAGAAAAGATTGAAGTTGTCAAAGACTTCATATTACTTGATTCTACAATCAACACCAATGGAAGCAGCAGTCAGAACATCAGGCAAATCTGCTGCAAAAGACCTATTTCAAGTGCTGAAGAGCAAAAATATCTCCTTGGAAACTAAGGTGCACCTAACCCAAGCCATGTTATTCTCAATTGCCTCATGTGTATGTGAGAGCTGGACAATGAATAAGGAAGACTGAAGAAGAGTTGATGCTTTTGAATTGTGATGTTGGCTAAGAATGCTGAAGGTACGTACCATGGACTGCTAAAGAACTAACAAATCTGTCCTGGAGGAAGTGCAGCTGGAATGCTCCTTGGAAGCAAGAATGACCAGACTTTGTCTCACCTACTTTGGTCATGTTGTCAGAAGGGACCATTCTCTGGAGAAGGATAATCATGCTTGGTAAGGTGGAGGGTCAACAAAAAAGAAGGAAAGCTGTCAAAGAAATGGATTGACACAGTGGCTACAATGATGGGCTCAGGTATAGTGGGGATTGTGGGGCTGTCACAGGACCGGGCAGTGTTTCGTTCTGTTGCGCATAGGGTCTCTATGAGTCGGAGACAACTTGATGGCAGCTAAAACAGCAACATTGGCCACTTATGTATCTTCTTTGAAGAGATGTCTATTCAGGCCCTTTGCAGAGTAGGCATTAATTTTGATTTTGAAGTTTTCTTTTTGTAGTTTAGAGATCGTAAATTTTTTTCAGCAGGTTTCAAACATTCTCACAGACTGTGGAAGTGCTCATAGGTCCTACTGCTGCCTTTGGAGCCTTGGGGATATAAAGAAGTTGCCAGTCTGAACTTTACAGATAGCCTCCCTTGGCAAAACTTCCCTTGGACTCCAGGTACCATTGGGACCTCTGGGAGCAATGGAGCAGGGCTAGGGGATTGTCCGCAAGAATCAGGCTCATTGCCTGGAGGTGGCAGCTGCTTCTCCCATCTGTGTGTCTGCCTGTCTGTTCCTGCTGCATGTCCTGTGGCTCTGCCTCTGATCCCAGGGCCATGACTCAGCATGGGTTACCCCTATAGCCCCTCCCAGCATCTCTGTCTCAGCCCCACCTGCTAATCTGTCATCCCACAGTGTCCAGAGTGATTAGGGCCAGTGTTACTCATGGACCTGCAACCCAAATGCATGCACACCTGTGCTTGGGGCTTAATGCTCTGAGATCATCACCTTGAAATTCTGAATTGTTTTGCCTTTGAATTCGTGTTTTGTATGTGAAATTGAATGAAAAAAAATGGAGCATCACTAGAGACTTGGAGTCAGCTCACCTGTGTCCCGCCTTCCACTGCCTCCCCAAGACATCTCCTCCCACTAGAACCCATGGCCACTGCCCTCTCCCAACCCTAGACATGAACAAAGGCTCAAGGAGGATTTTGTTCCCCCAGGTTGGCTCTCACAACTGCAGTCTGGAACTTCAGCAGGGAGTCACCCATCCCACCCCAGGTACTGGCACTTTCTAGCATGCAGCTGAAGCCCCATGGAGTCACCTGTCTGCTGTGGGCTGAGGTAGCAGGTCTGTAGGAAGGGGCCCCACAGTGTCTTTTGCATGGCACCAGTCCTGAGAGTGATGCTTTTGTGGCCTGCTAGCTGGAGCCCCCCAAATCCCTGTTGGCAGAGGCCACACAGTCCTGAAGAACTAGGCCTTAGTGTTCCCACTCCCTGGACTCCTTCAGTCCTTCTAGGTATCACTCCCTCTTGCCTCTGTGCTCCTGCACCTGCCGTTCACTGGACCTGGAACAGCCTTCCCTACCTTTTGGATCGTGGGCACAGCCCTGACAACACACTACCACTACCATCATAGAGTTATATTTCCCTACCTAATGGGCCTACATTTCCATAGATGGGGCCTTGGGAGTATAGGAGTCTGTTTATCTTATTCCCAGCTGTTTCAAGTGCACTTGTTAGACCAGGACTGTCTGGATCTCCTTCCCCATTTTTGCCTGGAGATAGAAAAGTGAGACTTGGAGAGGACAGCCACCTGCTAGGATCAGAGCTTGAATCTGAGTGCATAGCCTATACTCTTCCCTCTGCCTCCCTGCCCAAGATGTGAGGCAGGGTTTGAAGAGACCCTCTTCTGTGCCTCAAGGTGGAGCAGTGGCCATTTGTCCTGCTTCTTCCTGAGGGTAAGGTTTTGCTGCTGTGAGGGGAATAGGAGGGAAGTAAAACTCCAAGCATTTCTTCTCTGCCTGATTCAACTCCACAAACAGATCTTCCTATAAACCAGTGCAAGAGGCTGAGATGAACAAAATCCCACTGGCTTCCAGGGTCTCCTAGCTGGTTATCAACCCATCTCATGCTCCAGGATCTCCCAGAAGGGATGAGGAAGAATAGCATTATAGAAAGAGGAAAAACAGAACAAAGATTCAGAGGCAAGGATGTATGTGGTGAGGTAGAAGGCTAGGGAGGAGAGTTCCAGCCTGCTTGAGGGAAGTGGTGAATGCCAGGCCAGGTCTTGATGTGATGGCAGCAAGGACCCACCCAAGGTATTTGACAATGTGAGGCTTATTCTGCCTGTCCACTGGCTGTGCAGGGGGCAGTGGATGGAGGAGATGGGGACCCCAGGGAGTCAGAAGGTTGAGGCCAGAAGTGATACCTGTTACAAGCATGACACAAATGAAAGACACTGGAAGGGAAGACACACGTGGAGATTCAGCTGATGTCAAGAAACTGTGGAGAAAGTGTCCCAAAGGGCCAGGAAAAGCTGAAGCTGAGATTTGGCACCAGTGAAATTACAGGGAGGTGGTGATGGCCAAGGTTTTGTGTAGTAAGTGACATTAGACCCCCGCATATAATAGGTGCTCCAAACCAAAAGCCAAACCCACTGCCGTTGAGTTGATTAGGTTTCCGAGGCTGTAAATTTTTATGGAAGTAGATTGCCTCATCTTCCTCCCTTGGAGCAAGCAGGTGGGTTTGAACGGCTGACCTTCTGGTTAGCAGCCAAATGCCACCAGAGCTTCTTAGTAGGGGCTCAGTAAATGTTTATCACATGAATGGATGAAGAGCTTTCCATCTCTAGTGCTGCTAGTGCTGGGGGGGCAGGGTGCACTCTCCCCCATCTCCAGCACTTTTCCTCTTTGCCTCCTGTCCTGTGGCCCTGGGAGAAACCAGGTTGCCAGCAGAGGCATTGCTACCCATGGTTCTACCTGGAGCCTCCCCTCCATCTCTGCCAGTGAATACATATTGCTGTCTTTGCTTCTCTCTCTGCTTCTCTCTCCCTCTGTCCCCCTCCCCCTCCCCGTCCTTATCTTTCCCAGGATTCGGTCTCCATGGCGACTCACCACCTTGGCTTGCCTACATCCCAGCCTCTGCCAGAGATTCTGAGCCCAGCCCTGTCCCTCCCTCCTCCAAAGCCCTGGTACCCGCAGTCCTTGTCTCCTCCCTCTGGGGTGAGGCCAGAAGCAGCCCCCTCTCTCCCGACTGTTACATTCATTTTCTAGCTCAAATCTGAGTCAGGGAGACAGGGAGTCAGCTCCTCTGAGGAGACTGTCCTCCTACCCCTTCCCCCACCCTCCACCTGCCACAGCCCTTCCAGGAGAAAAGCCATCCTTGCCGGCTAGTTGGAAGTCTCTTGGGCCTCCTCTCTCTGCATCCAGACTCTCTCCCTACTCCGTCTCCCATGCCGAGGTCCACCTTGTCAGTCATTTCCTTTTGTCATCGGCTTGGCAAACAGGCAAGTCTTTAGATCTAAGACCTGAAGAAGAGGCTGGGTATGGGAAGGGGCCACCTGGGGACGAGGAGATGGGTCTGAGAGGGAGGATGAGGAGCCACTGGAGACCAGGTTTAAGATAGCAGCCTGCAATCTGTTCTAAATGTCTTTTTTAATTTTTTTTTTTTTTTCTCCAAGGAGAGAAAATGGAGCTTCATGGGAAGCACCAGCAACAGTTCGTAAGTAACAGGGCCTGCTAGCATTGGTGGTACAGGGACCTGGATAGCCACAGCCGGGGATGGCTAGTTGGGGAATATCAAAGTCTGTGGCCAAGCCTCTGGAGGCTGTCCTGGGGGTATAGAGAAGCAGAGGCTGGATCTGTAAGGTATTGAGGGAGGAGGGACAGGGAAACAGGTAGACACTGCTGAGAAGCAGATTCTAGCTCAGAGCAGGAGTGGGAGGAATTTTCTAAGAACCAGAGTTATCTGGCCAGCCAGGGATGGGCTGCTCTGTGCATCAGGGGATCTTACCCCCTCCTTCCATCCCCATAGCAGGAGGCATGTTTAAACTGCTGCCAAAATGCTGTAGGGACATCACTCCTGGGGGAGGGGGGCAGTGGAAGTCAATGAGTCCCTGGAAGAACATTTGCAGTAGAAGACAATGGGATTACAATGAACATTTGTGCCAAAGCATTATCCCAGTGGCCCAAGGAGGCAGATGCTATCCCTCTTCTTGGAAAATTAGGGAACCGAAGCCCAGAGAGTTGAAGGAACTTGCCTGAGGCTGCATAGCTGGGCTGGCATGGAGATAGGGTTTAATCTAAGCATTCTCATTCTTGGGGTCACACCCATCACTGCTCTGCTGCCCCCACGCTTGAGTCCCCAGGTTATGGGATGTGAGTCAGTGAGGAATGGATAGAGCTTTACCTCTCTGGGAGCAACTATATCTGTCCTTGGAGGCCCCAGAACTAGAAGCAGCACAAAGGGGTGCAGAGCAGAACCAGGTCCCCACCCCAAGACATCAACCTGCCCCCCAGATCTCTGGCCCAAACCCCTTGCACTGACATCCTACATTTAAAGTCTTGCTCTGTCCTCCAGGTCTCACTCACCATTTCCAAAGTTGGAATTAGGCTTGGTGTCCCGGCCTGTGGAACCCCAGGAGCTCCCTGCCTGTGCCATCTGCCTGGAGAGGCTGTGTGAGCCTGTTTCACTCAACTGTGGCCACAACTTCTGCACTGAGTGCTTCAGCACGCACCGCGTCCCAGGCTGCCAGCTGCCCTGCTGCCCCGAGTGCCGCAAGATATGCAAGCAGAAGAAGGGGCTCCGCAGTCTGGGAGAGAAGATGAAGCTGTTGCCACAGAAGCCACTGCCTCCTGTGCTACAGGTCCAGGATGAGGCCTTATCATTGGTGGGAGACAAAAAGGGCTCTGGGTCTGATCTGAGAGGATCAGATAGGTGATCTGTGGGTGGCTTTGGCCCTATCCTAGAATGTCAGGATGAGGGATACAGTTCCAGGCTGGGGTCTAATTGCCAGCGTCAAGTGCTCAGGGAACCAATCTTTCTCTCCCACAGGAGACATGTGATGTGAAGGCTGAGCCACTGCTGCTGGTGCGGATCAGTGCTTCTGGGGGTCTCATCCTCAGGATGGGGGCTGTCAACCGTTGCCTGAAACATCCTCTGGCCAGGGACACTCCAGTCTGCCTTCTCTCTATACTGGGGGAGCAGCGCTCAGGGAAATCCTTCCTCCTCAACCACTTGCTTCAGGGCTTGCCAGGCCTGGTGAGGGCCAGCCAAGGTGGTGGGGAGGGGTGGTCCCAGCCTGGCTTCTGAGAGGGAAGAGGGCCTGGGATCCTGGAGATGGAGACAAGGAATGGACAAGCTAATGCTGTCCCTTCTCCCCTTGTAGGAGTCGGGCAAGGGTGGCTGGCCAAGAGACGGAGGGCCCCCGCAGGGGCTCAGGTGGGGGGCCAGTAGCCTCACCAGGGGCATCTGGATGTGGAGCCGCCCCTTCCTGCTTGGGAAAGAAGGGAAGAAGGTGAGAGGGAGGAAGGGCAGAAGGAAGCCAAGACAGTACTGAGAGGGGAAAGGGAAGAACCAGGGTAAAATCAGGGATGGACAAAGAGGAGGGCAGTCAAGAAAGGACCCTTGGGGGTAAGGAAGAGGAAACTGAGTGGGACAGAGGCAGGCCTGACCCCTGATTGCCTCCCACCCCCCATAGGTGGCTGTGTTCCTAGTGGATACTGGAGGCACCATGAGCCCTGAACTGAGCAGAGAAACCAGAACCAAGCTATGTGCTCTCACAGCCATGCTGAGCTCCTACCAGGTGGGGAAGGCCCTTCCCCACATGAGCCCCTCCAGCTGTGATAGACATGTCATGGCACAGTCATTCCAATCTCACAAGCTCCCTGCAAGAGGAGTAAAATGGTCCCAGTTGGTAAAGGTGGGAGAATGGGTCTTCAAAGGATGGGTCAGATGTCCCTAGGGGTCTGTAGGATCATGATTCTATTTCCTCAGCATGCCTTCTGTACTTCAAGGAAAGCACAACTCTACAGCTACAGCTCGAGAGGCCACACTGGGTCTCTCCCGTGTTCTGAGGACCACAGACTTCCTGAGTGCTCCCTCCCCACCTGGGTTTCCCAGTCTCACTTTGTCTTTCCAGACCACTTCCATCTTGTTTTTCTCCTTGGTTCCAGATCCTTAACACCTCCCAGGAACTAAAAGATACAGACTTGCAATACTTAGAGGTTAGGAGACATTTCATCTTTGAGGGGTACCACCTCACTCCTACCCTTACCATATGGCCAGGGGACTGGACTGGGTGGAATTAGGTCCATTCCCGTTCTGACCTATATTGTACGCCTCTTGAACTAAGATGGAGAAGCCCAAGGGGGCTGGTTTGGGGAGAGGCAGGAAAATTCCAGATCTGGGAAATGGGAAGCTTGGTTCCTTTAGAGGGCACAAGGGGCTTCAGATGTGCCATAGTCCTCAAAATGGCCCTTCTGTGACTCTACTGTGCCCTGCCCCCAGATGTTTGTCCACGTGGCTGAGGTGATGGGCAAGCACTATGGGATGGTGCCAATCCAGGTGAGACACCCCTTTCAGGAGTCTTCATCCTCAGACCTGGACACCCCCAGCAGCTGGTGTTAGGACTCCTCCTCTCCCCTTCTCTCTCAGCATCTGGATCTCTTAGTTCATGACTCATCCCGTCCAAAAAAGGCAGGGCCGGGGCACATGGGTGACATCATCAAGGTGAGAGATGTAGAAGGAAGGGGTACCTGGCCTCTGGTAGGGGAGGAGGTTGATGGGCAGGCTGGACTGTAGGGGAAGCTGAGAGGGGTCCTAAGAACATGAGGCTGAAAGTGTTTCTGAATGCTTCTGAAGTTGTCAGGCAAATACCCCAAGCTTCAGGAGCTGCTTCAAGGGAAACGAGCTCGCTGTTACCTGCTGCCTTCTGCAGGGAGGAAGTGGCCAGACAAAGGCCATGGAAGTCCTGGTGGTGAGTGTCCCCTGGAGCAAAGACCTCCGTGTGCTGCTGCCCAGTTGCCCCTGCTTGGGCTGCCCTGGCCAGAGCCCTCCCAGTGTTCAGCTTCTCCTTCATAGAGCCTGTCATGTCTCAGTCCCATATCCCCCTCTTCAGAGCCAGAGGAGGATTTTGGCAGCCTTCTTCATGCCTACATTGCGGATGTGCTGAGTGCAGCCCCCCAGCATGCCAAGAGCCGCTGCCGGCAGCCCTGGAGTGAGGGACGAGCCATTGCACGGGCGGACAGATGCCTGCTCACTGGGCAGCAGTTAGCTCAGGAAATCAAGGTGCAGAAATGTCCCTCCCTGCCCAGCCCTCAGCCATCTCTGTGGCTGCCCTGACCCCTGCAACTTCTCCACAGAACCTCTCAGGCTGGATGGGGAGGACAGTGCCCAGCTTCACCTCTCCAGAGGAGGTAGGCACTCCCAAGAGGACAGTGGGGCCCAGAGGGAGGATACTGGGCTAGGAGGGAGGATGTGGGCTTGGGAGCAACTGTGCTGAGGTCTTGGTCTGAGAGTGGAAGCAGCAGCCTGTCTGGCTCAGGAGAAAGGAGAGTGGCAGCCGGGCTTTCTTGTGGACAGATGGCTGCCCAGCTGCATGACCTAAGACAAGTGGAAGCTGCCAAGAAGGAGTTTGAGGAATTCGTGAGGCAGCAGGTGAGACTGTATGGGAGCCATGTAGGCCATGCTGGGAGAGGGTGCCTGGACCTCCTACTCAGGACCATTCTTTTCAACCCCTCACCCAGGACTTGGCCACCAAGCGCATATTCTCTGCCTTACGAGTGCTGCCTGACACCATGCGGAACCTGCTGGCTACCCAGAGAGATGCTGTTCTAGCGAGGCACAGCATGGCCTTACAGTGCCAAGGGAGAGAACAGACCTTGGAGACCTTGGAGGCAGAGCTGCAGGCCATGGCCAAGGTCTTCATGGACACTTATACAATGCGGTTCTGTGGCCACTTGGCAGCTGTAGGGGGCGCTGTTGGTGCCGGGTTCATGGGTCTGGCAGGTGGAGTAGTGGGTGCAGGCATGGCGGCAGCAGCTCTAGCTGCAGAGGCTGGCATGGTGGCAGCTGGAGCTGCAGTGGGGGCCACTGGAGCAGCTGTGGTGGGAGGTGGCGTGGGTGCTGGGCTGGCTGCCACTGTAGGCTGCCTGGAGAAGGAAGAGGATGAGAGAGTTCAGGAAGGGGATCAAGAGCCCCTTCTCCAGGAAGAGTAGGAAGCGTTAAAAGGAGGGCAAGTTGTGGGGGTGGTGGGGAGGAGTTTCAAGGGGCCCAGATGTACCACTCTGCCCTGTTTGAATGCCCAGTGTCCAAGTGGCTCCAGGAACCTAGGTAGGTTTCCCTAGGCCAAGAAGCAGCATTTGGGGGGTAGGAACCATCTCTGGTTGTAGATAATTGCTAATCTGCCATCCTTTCCAGGTATACTTGAACCCAGGGTCTCCTGTCACTATTAAAGCCCTGCCCTCCCAACCCTGCTTGTATTGTAGGAAGGTCAAGTGTCCCCATCTTGGAAGCCTGTCCTTGGGTCGAGTGACCTCAATGTTGAGGAGCTCAGGGGGGAGGGAAAAAGAGGAGAAGACTGAATACTAGGCTAACTGCCATTGTGGTTCGCATGGAGAAAGAGGATGAGAAGGTGCAGGAAAGGGATCAAGAACCTTTTCTCCAGGAAGAGTAGGAAGCCCCAGGAGGCGTTACAGATGTGGGAAAGATGTGCGGGTGGTGAAAGAGATGGGTGTGGTAGACAGTGGCTGAAACTACAAAGCAGAGAAACCTGCTTCAGAGACTTCCCAGAGCTGCTCCAGATGGCTGCCTGGCCACTCCCACATTCTCCATTGGCCCTAGCACCCAAGGAATTGGTATATGCACCTTGTACTTCCCTTGCCCTTCCTGGTAGATTTGCCATTGCTGGATGTGTGTTAGGAGCTCTGGTAGCATAATGCCTAAGGCATCTGACTGCTAACTAGAAGTCTGGTGGTTGAAGACTGGGTGATCTACTTCCATAGTGATACCACATTGGAAACCCAAGGAACGGTTGCTATGAGTTGGATCCGACTCCATGGCAGTGAGTTTTTTTTTTTTTTTTTTTTTGGGGGGGGGGTTATATGTTTTCCACAAGTCCGTACTCTGAAATACTACACAGCAACAGGTTAAATGCCAGAGAATAACAACTTTGATTGCGTTCAATTTCAGCCTGACAGCCTTTATTATAGTACCAGTACCAGGTGCTGTCGAATTGACTCCAACTCATGGTGACTCCATGTGTGTCAGAGCAGAACTGTGCTTATAAAGCTTTAAATGGCTGATTTTCAGAAGTAGATTGCCAGACCATTCTTCTGAGATGCCTCTGGATGGACTTGAACTTCTAACTTTTCAGTTACCAGCCAAATGCTTAACTGTTTGCACCACCCAGGGACCTCACCTTTATACTAGATTCTAACAAAGCCCTGCAAAAGAAAGTAAGGTGGGAAAACTCTACCCTCATGCACTCCCTTTCTCCCCTGTGATTGTGAGCAGGTACCTCTCTTCTATCTTAGCAGGAGATCTTCGTGCAGCTCCCCAGACACCAGGGTTCCACAAGGAACTTGAGGGCAGGTTTCCCCTGAGTCTCAGGGCTCAGTTCTGCAAGGAAGACTTCCATACTATACACTGTAAAGGGTTAATGGGCACATTGTATGGAAAATAAAACATGTGTGCTTGAATGCCAGCTTCTAATAAGTTATTGAATAGAGTTCAGCCCTGAGAGGACTTTTAGAGGGAGGAGGAGATGACCCATGGAGCTCCACTGCTGAGATCTGTGGTTGGAAAGAGGGAGACTTTGAAACACAAAAGCAGTCTGGGGGCTGAATATCAGGTCCCCCTCATGGATTTAGGGAGGCTCAGGCCAGTCTTGTCCACTAGATTCTGGGGTCCTGCTCCCCTCTGAAAAACTCCTCAGACAATGCTGTCAGCAAGTTGTCAGACAGCATCTGTCCCAGGAAGAAGAGAGCCATAAAAGGGCATCCTGGGAAAAAGAGAATGAGGAAAAGTAAGACTGAGCCTGCAGGGACTGTCAGCTGAAAGTTCACCTGCTAGTTTCCTCCTCACCAGTTTTCCCTCTTAGAATGAGGGAATATTGCATTAGGAAGGAATGACAGCAGTCCCTGGGTCCAAACCCTGCGTTTTATAGTCACAAATCCAGACAAGGCTGATAGCAAAGCACAGCTCAAACTCCCACTTCCCAAGGTAGTACCCCTCCACAGAGAACTTGGAAGAGGTTTTTTTTTTTTGTTTTTTTTCTTTAATTTTTTCAGGCCCACTGTGCCAAAATGGACATGCTCCTTTGTGGTAATTCTGATTGATGAGGCCTAGCTCTGGGAGACAGTATGTGGGGTAGAAGGACTTGGTCTGAGGCAGACGGCTCAATAGGAGAAGTTGCAATTAGTAGGTTGGGGATAAAATGCACCATGTGGACAGATTCCAAAGCCACAGAGGAGAATGTGCACAGTAAAGACAGAGGACTGGAGTGCTTCTATTTTTTAGGGACCAGGACAAGGTGGAAAGCAGGCCCAAACTTTGTGTGGTGTTTGTTGAGAAAGGCTTTCTGGAAACATCTCTTTGGGTCCTTCCATCATCTAGTGGATTCATGAGCTACAGAACCTCTCAGACTTTGGGGCCAGCAGGTTCAGGACTTGGAGGGACCTCTACTCTCTTTTTGGCTCAGAGGAGCCACAGAGAAAGGATGCTGTCCTGCTGGAATTCAACAGAGCTGGAAGGAATTTTCATGATCTACTTACCCCAGCTCTGAGCAGTAGAAGAGGAGACAGACTTCAGCAGGGAAGTCAAACAAGTAATATTAAGTGGCATTGACCTTGTGCTTTATAGCTTACAAGGGTTTTCCCAGACACCTTCTCTCTTAAACCTCGAAAGCATCCCATGAAGTACTCATTTTACAGAGAAGAAAATTGAAGCTCTGAAGAATGATGTCTCAGTTGAAACCACTTGTCAGAGACAAAGCCAATACTTGAACCCAGGATTCTAATGCCAAAGCTCTTGCTCAGGTGAGCCTCCACTCTAGGTTTCTCCAAGAATGGGCCTCTGTGTCCCAAGGTTCCTGGGCTTCCAACACATGTTCTATAATTCACAAATGACTGCTGTCTCAACAGAGTGTGGGGGTCTGGCTGGTTTCCCTTCTATGACCCATTGAAGGCTACAAACTCCAAGATTCTCAAATGATAAGTTTCTGGATAAGGAATTTGGTGACCTAATTCACGGTTCCTATTTCTGAGGCCTCATATTGAAGATGGTAGCACTGCAGGCAAAAGTACCTGGGTCTTAAGCCATTAACTACATGAAGTTGCCATTAAACCATGGCATGAGCAAGAAAAAAATTTTTTTTTCTTTTTTTGCTTTAAGTGAATGAGGTATATAGGTTTGCTTGTTACTAAATCACAGCTTAACCTACCCTAGATAATACAGAAATTTGTTCCTTGAAATGGGGAGATGTAACAAAAACCTAAAACATGTGTCACTAGTTGGGTGGTAGGCAGTACGGAAACACACTGCTGGGCCTATTTAATATGGCAAGAAAACACTTGGTAAAACTGTTGCCTGTGATAACATGGAAGGCAGACTTGGTGCTGTGGAGGAAAAATTAAAACTTCCTTTCAATCCTGACAATCCTCTCCACGAATGTGGAAAAGAAAGAAAACAGTTCTATTACTGGATAAGCACTCAGTTACATCACAGGTAATCTGCTAATGACATTACAATGGCTGAAAGAAATCTCATCCTTTTTTACATAGTGGAGCAGATACAGTCTGTTACACACGTGTTCTCATGTATTGTGTGTTATTATACATGTGTTTTCATGTATTGTGTGTTATTACGCACATTCTCATGTATTATGAGTTATTACATATATGTTCTTATGTGTTATTACACATATGTTCTCATAAATGAGAACTTCTTCTCATGTAAAAGGACTTGAAACGCAGTTTGCTATAAAGATTTTACAGACTTTCACAGTTGACCTTCAACTCACAAGGTAATTGGTGTTACATCTGTGCTAGTTAAGTGCCTTTATCTGAGGAAAAAATGAAACTTCTCACATCTCCATGACAAAATAGCCTGGGCTGAACTGTCATGGGAGCATTTTACTGCTAACCAGAAGGCTGATGGTTCAAACATACCAGTCACTCCTCGGAAGGAAGACTGGGCAATCTACTTCTGTAGAGATACAGAAACCCAAGGAGAGGTCTCTATGAGTTGAGTCGATTGACGGCAGTCAGTTTGGTTTTGGTTTTTTGAACTGTCATAATGATGAGACACTTTCCTCCTTGATGTTTACATTTAAAAGAGATGACTTCCAGCAAAGGAATGGATAAACAAAATGTGTTATGTCCATACAATGGAATATTACTCAGCCATGAAGAGGAATTAAGTTTTGATAGAGATTTGTTGTTGTTGTTGTTAAGTGCCATCGAGTCATTTCCAACTCATAGCGACCCCATGCACAGCAGA